CAAAAAAGCGTGGTTAATAAGAATAGCAATTTTATTTCAATATATGTTTTAAATATACGTTCATAAAGTTTAGGATGTCATTTTGAAAACAGAATGTATTATCAGATATATTATTGATAATTAGTATGGTGTATTTGACAAGGCACATAGTTTCACAGTCAAAAAAATTGATAAATGATCAAGATAAAGAATAATCAACAAGATCAAAACAAAGAATAATCAACAAGATTAAGACAAAGAATTATCAACTGTATCTAGAAACCCATTTTACGAATTTATATAGTTTGTATACTACCAGCTAGTATTGTGAACTTGGACTACATTTCTAAGACTAAATCATAAGATGTTTCGTAATGTATTTTGTGACGTCGAAGAAGAATACGATGTTTACATGCATATGCAAAAGTCTGGTATGGGAAACATTCACAAATCATAAATTTAGCAATTGTATATTTAAGATTATATTTTAAAAGTTTCGTAAAATTTGTGTTTAAGGTAATCGTCAGGGCGTATTGCTGGGTATTTATCACTACCATCCACACACATGACAACAGAAAAATTATCAGGAACGTTGAAAAATGCTATCGATTGACGACTGGATTCTCTTTTTTTGATGCTTTTTGGTATTCCAACTTTATGTACCTGTAAACAAACATAAAATACAATTAACTCCATGACGTAACAGCATTATCGTAAGTGTATTACATATGAAAAAAAAAACATGATCTCAATTCTGGCGTTTCGTAGAGTTAAAGCGGGCGAGTCACCCGCGCATGCGTCAGATGGCCATAGCGTGTCAATGTTTAAAAACAAGCGAATATCCATGAGCCTTTGCGTTTTTAGCGTGTGCTGTTATCATCGCTTGGGACTCAATTTCCGTGCGTGCGCAGGTGTCGATCCTCTCGCCTTAATACTCAAATGAAGGAATAACAACATGCTTTAACAACATACATTTTCAGTCATTCATTTAGAAAGTTAGCCTGTCCAAGAACAAAAACAATTGAAAAGTAAAATATTTTAAAACAAACATTTGATAAAATATATTCACTATATCAACAAGACAATGATATCTAGACCTCATGCTATACGTCCTGTTTCACATGTAGAACCCGCAATAATCTATGTAACAGTTATATTTAAACACAGGCAAACCATATATATTATAAATAGGCGATGTCACTCACTGCGGAAACGAGTTTATCAGAAGTCCATCGCTGCATTAAATCTCCTATGTTGACAATAATACTTCCATCTATGGGCGTGGCGTCAATAAAACTACCATCCAGACATTGTATCTGTGAAATATAAACATTTTAAAACCAGTCTGTTGTATTTATATATTGATGTTTTTTTTTTGTATTCACAGAAATGTTTTGACTGACTACGCCGTGGTCTATAAATATAAGGACAGCAGAGTGTCAGTGATATATTCAATTATAAAAAAAACAACAACATCGTATTCAGTTAAATACGACACTTATATAAAGTATTCATATACGAATACGAGTTTTGATTGCCACAGATTCCATACAAAATAACTCTATTCTTACGTTGGAGAGATGTATATTCAACCCCCGAAAAATAGGCATTTCCTCAAACGGATAGTTCAGCTTTATGGGTAAAACCAGTCATCAACGATATCGATGATGCCTGACTGTTCACGTCTAGTACCAAATCTTACATACTTCCAAACAAACCTTCAGGCGAGACAGATGAGACATGTGACAGACCAATGAACGGAGCCGTTGGCGCGATCACGTGATTGCCAGGGATGTGCCACAATGCATAAGCATTGCGAGGTTGCCACTTAGAAACACAATTAGGAAACAATTTGTTTTGAAATTGTTGTTTCTAATATCAGACATGCAAGTTGTTGAGCCTAAATAATCCTACAATGTCATGTAAATTATAGGTTTGTGTACAAATCGTCTTTGCAGTAAAATCGTGTCAAAATGCTTCCCGATAACATACATGATATTTCTAAATCGACTGATTCTATCGTCATGATATGATGTAAAGCTGTTTTTTGAGAAAAGTTTTTGATCAGACTCCAACAAACTGTTGAAAATAACCTACCTCTAGTCCTCCAATGTCATCTTGGAATAGTAATGTCATTGATCCATAATCTGAATGCTCTCCACATCGTATCTGATTGGGTTTCAATTCAATATCCTGTGATATTGGTGGGTAGTAGAGAGTTCTCAGTGTAGTAGTATTGTCTGGTCCTTTGATGCCTTTATGAGCGTTTACAAATAGTAATGGATCCTGTGAAAATGAAATAACGCAAAAATGTGATCACTCTAAAAATAAATCATTAATAACTCAATAAAGCTGCAATTAATTATATGATAATATAGAATTGATAGTGATAGGTTAATAGAAATTGTTCTTAGTACAGCAGTATTATATATTATGCATGAGTGTTGGCCAAAGAACTGACGCATCTGTCGATTTCATCGATATTACCACATAGTTTTGTTCTTTCCCTTGGATAAACTCACCTCCAGTTGTAGACCCCTCGCCATGACCTCAAACAGCCGATTGGATAATTCCATGCATACATCAAATAAATTTAGAATGGATTCTGTGAACTTAAGATCCGAATTGTCTGTCGGCATCATCTACAAATAGACAACTTGAAGTCATTTCAACAATCCCCATATTGTATTTTGTT